TTGTTGCTGTCCTTGGGCTCAGACCTCTTGAACTAACGCGAGTTTGTTGCAGGCGGAAGCAGCAGCCAGCGTATGCAAGCGACCAAGTCCAAGGAGGCAATAAACAAAACGTGAATTGTGTGTCAAGATCTATCGACGGATCTCTCTCGTTGGTTCATCACACGGCCTTTGATTGGCTGTCGTCAACATCGCTCAGTGTCTTTGGCCAATGGGAACGCAGGGTTTGATTCGCCAATAGCTTCAACGTGGGCCAACTTTCCAGCAAATTCCCCTATCCAAGTCCCAGCCATTCCTGTACGAGAGAAGGTCGAGCGGAACCGACCGCTCGAAGGCAACCACTTGGTCGCGCATGGCTTCAGACCATCGACTGGCATCGTCGAAGCGAGGACACCTCGCCCACATGCGGTACATGCTGTTCGCCATGGTGGTGGGGTTTCTGGTCGTGTTGTTCGTTGGCCGACATCTTGTGCGTCTCGAGAGCGCCATCGACCCCACGGAAACGTTTCGCCGGACATCGCGGGAGACGGCGGCGCTGTTTGACCATCGCAACGTACACTACATCACAGTCGCCGACGACACCCGACCGGTACCGCGACCATTGTGTGTGTGTGATGGCGTGGTCGTGCAACTCGAAGCTGTAGGAGATTTGCTTGACCGCGTCCTCGATCTTTATCTTGTCGCAAGGAGAGCTCGAAGTCCTCGCATGGGACGACAGCGCGACGTTTTTCGACGGCACGTCGCCAAAGCCCCCAGTCAACGCGACCAACGTGGACACCCTCCACGCCGTGCGGATGGGCCAGGCCAAAAAGGTACCGCCTCCTCCATCCATGCTTGAACAAAAGGAGGCCATGCCCGACGCGTCGCTGTTTCCTGTGGGTGTTGTCGGAGTGGCTCGATTTCGCCTGGATGCCTCTTGAGTGATCCATATCTGTCTCGGGCGATCCCTTCCACCGCCCGCGCGCAACGTGTGGTCGGTGTGACTTGGCAGTGGCCCGCGCCTTGGCCTGTTGTCTGCATCGAATGGCGAGTTCTTGTGTGTGCATGCGGTCGAGTGAATTGCTCCATCGTCGACGACATTCGGCATGCTATAGATCGACTGGATCGCGCACTACGTGACCCACCACCCGAACCTCCATGACGACGACATCATCGTGTACACGGACGCATGGGACGTGGTGATTCAAACCGACATGAGCGCGGTGGGGTCGATCCTCCGCCGGATGACGGGTGGCCAACGCGGTCTGCTCTTCAACTCGGAGCCGAGTTGCGGCGACTCGTTCGAGCTGCCGGGCGAGTACGGCGAGTACTTGCGGTCGGCGTCGTTTGACGTGCACTTGTCCGTCGCGGACAAGCACGTGCGGTCCGTAACAGGGCGCGACATTTGCCGGCAGATGCTGATCAAGTCATCGATGCACTCGGCCATGGGTGGGCCGAACTGGAGCCTCGGGTCCGGAGGAATCGTCGGCGACGTGTGGACGTTCCGGCAGTTCATGGCGCGGGTCGTCCAAGTGACCACCGAACAGATCGAGCGGGCTCGAGCCGACCCGACCGTGCCGGTGTTTGAGGGGGACCAGATCTCGTTCCAGCTGGCGTATCTCAGGTGCGACGACTCGGACGCCGGTGCCACATGACGGCATGTCGCTTGCAGATCTCCCGAGCTGAACGTGCTGGTCGACACCCGCAGCGAAGTGTTTTTGGTCACGTCGTTCATGACGTTGCCAGGGGCAGTCGACCACTACGATATCGACCACGGGTGCTCGGCCACGTCGTTTTTCCGCGGCGGCGTGCCGTCCAAGCTGCGCTGGTTCAACCACACGCCGATGATTCTGCATTTCCCAGGTCCGGACGTCGTTCGCGCGCGTGTCGACCGATCGTGTGTGTAGGCGACTACAAGCACTTGTACGATCGATGCGCCGACAACGTGAAGGCGGTCTTGAAAGCCGCGGCCCCTGGCAAGTTTATGTGGGACGTTGATCGGAATACGTCGATACCCGTCCACGACGTTTGCTACGATTACACGTAATGGACTGGTATCATGTGGCTCCTGTGGCTCGTGTGCAGCGACTCGACGGGTCGAGTGTGCCGCTGGCGACCTGTCGCGGGTGCAACCAAACGCCCAGAACGAAACAAAGCGCCTGCCGGTTGGCTTGAACGCAGCATCCGCACGTGGCACACTGACCACACATTTGTGGCGGACGGACGATGGTGTATTCGAGGTTACGAGTTGTCGGGGTGGGTCGAGTCGAGGAGCGGGACATGCGCCGTCCAGAACGCTTGATCCTTTATCAAGTCGACGTGGGCAATTGCGATCGATTTGTCGGGCGTGCGGAAGAGAGTCGACCCCCGTTTGAACATGAGCGACACGTCGTTGTAGTTGATGTTGAACTGACTGAAGAGGAGCTCGTGCTTGGCCTTGGCGTCCGTGTGCTGAAGGAGCGCTTCTGCGTCCTTCGGAGATACATCTCCTGTTTGGACGAGGGCCCAAAAACACGTGTTGTACAAGTTGTTGATGTGGCAGTCGACATGGCGCCAGCTCAAGTAGTCTCGCATGTTCTGCGACCAACATGAGCCGACAACCGTCGCGGGAGGGATACCTTGGTCGAGGGGTAGCTCACGACGCGTGCGTCGAACGAAGGCGGATACGCTAGCGGTGTCGACTTGAAGTACTCGGGCCAGTGGAACACGAATGCCGACGTGAAAAGCGACCCGACCGTCGACGCGAGCTTGGTCGACCGCCGATTGTACAAGTTGGACGTCTTCTGCTCCCATGATCGCACACACGCGTGAAGGAGCGACCGACCATAAGAACGACACTGGGGCTCGTACATTGAAGATGAAGCTGTACTCGTCGCTCTGGCCGTACGCGAGGAAGATGTCGCCAAACTCGTGCATGACTGTCTTTGCACACTACATCACACACCTCGAACGAACGCACACGGCAAACGGGCATTCTCACGTGCGTACTCGGTTCATGAGATGCAGCCCTCGCGCGTCGTTCGGCTTGGCGTACCCGTGGGTGTCGGTGAACCTGTGGCCAACGCAAGTCGACGTGAGTCCACACTGCTCGACGCATGCATCCATACAAATACTTTACTTGTGGAAGCTGCGGCCATCCACACGCACCACGATCCACGTGTTGCGCAGGACCGGGTCCGGCAGCTCAAAGTTGCGCACATACTCGTACCGCGAGTTGGCCATCGCACCGCCCCACCGCGGCGAGCAGATTCCGGATACCCGTATCCGAACAACCTGATGGACGGGATGCCATGTGGAGGCATTGGGCGGGCAGTCCGTCGTCGCGGCTAGCCTGGAGCGATTTGAACGGCAAGCGGCGAGGGTACGACTGCTGGGAGCCCGTGGTTCCACTGAGGAAGACTCGTCCACAACGAGGCAACTCGCTAGTTGAGAGGGTTGCCAGCGATGGAATGCACAAGCATGCCGTAGGCGCAACCCAACGCCAGGACGCGTCGGTGGCGGAGGAGCGAGCGATCGCCAAGCGCTAGCCGTGCATGGAGGAACACGGCAGTAGAACCACCCCCCCCATTGATCTTGATTTTTCACCGACAGATTCCGTGTGGATCCTCATGAGAGCGTAATCACCTCTCACTCCGCAGGCCCGACCGCGGAACAGCGCGAGGAACGCCGTGACAGGACACTCGGTCTCGCCAATCGATAGCTTCATGTGAACGAACGTCGTTGCTCATGGCGGGAGAATATGGATGTAGCCAGAGGGCCTTGTCATGTTGGGGCATCTCCTTCGCACTCTTGAGAGTGCGTCGCGGCTCGGGATGTGCCAGGTGTCGAGACGGCATCGTCTTGTTGTGTGGTCGATCAAGTCGGAACACTATTGGAATTGCGGTCAGCGAGGCAGATGGAGAACTTTGCCGAGGTATGGTCGGCGGGATGGAATAGCCATGACCTGGACACGATCCTGAGCCACTACACGGACGACATCGAGATGACAAGCCCGTACATGGTCCAAGTCATCGGCGTCGGGACTTTACAGGGGAAGTCCGCGCTGCGGGAATACTGGCGCCAAGGCCTGGACCGGAATCCGGCGCTCGAGTTTCGCGTGCTCGATGTCGCGTACGGCGTCGACATGGTCTCGATCTACTACCACTCGGTCACGGCCAAGAAGAACGTGATCGAGTCGTTCTGGTTTCGAGACGGCCGCGTTTACAAGTGCAACAGCGCGTATGCAGCATGAGGATCGCGGTTACAGCGTGCGGGAAGCCACCAAGCGCGGCCGCCATCCCTACCACACTCCATAGCGGTGGTCTCCCCAACGTAATGCAATCCAATGGATCGTTGAATTGTTGCCGAATGCGACGTGTACGATGCTCACATCAAACGACTGGAAAGACATGGCCAGGTCAACTCACGCCACCAACTAGCCCAGGTGTCCTGGCCGTGAAGGAAGAGCAAGCGAATAAGGCGTGGTGAAGTCCATAGCAACTTATCCCCGCCACTGGCCGAGGGCGACCTTGGATGAAGCGACCTAGGGTTGCGCAAGATCATGCCAATCTTCCCTTACGTTATGATCGGTCGGTCCGATTGAGAAGGTTCGACATGAGCCGAGGTGCCACACACAATTCTGCTGTCCGAGTCCACCGCGACTAGCCCAGGTCGCCCAGTGTTGGCCATCCTGCACACTCAATTGTACCGCTGCACTCTCCCAGGAAGTGGCCGCGCTCGACCACCGTTCATCTCGTACAAGCCTCCATCGTGCCTCCTCAACACAACATGCCACGGGCATTGCCAGCTCCTCGTACCCGTGAGACGGTCGGTCGTGAGACTCGGTGCTACGTACGGGAGTTGACGCTTGGTCCTCCTCCGCAACGAAGTAACGTGCGCCGCGCTGCTGCATGGTTTGTGTGCCGACGGTGCGCCCCTTCGGTTTACACTTGTCCCCGCCGTCTGCACGCGACGTGAACAGGACGCGGACGCTCTCGTTTTGACCGTAGGTACAGGAGGAATGGCATCATGCCCCTGGACGACGACCTCGCCTCTTCGACATCCCGCTGCGATCGAGCGGCGCGTGATGCGATCGAGAACTGTCAACCAAGAAGGCCGTGCAAACCACCCTGATGCGGTCACGTTGACTGTATCGACGACGCATATCGCTACACGCACAGAGTCATGGACATCGTTTCGCCGGTACATGCCCATGCGTCGAACGAGTTGGCCCCCGTGGGTGCGTGGTCCGGCCTTAGTTGGTTGCGGCGTACACCACGAGCTTCTCGGAGACGCTGGCCGACTGGTGAAAGTACAGCCACGTGCTGATGGTTTCGGTCGTCGCGTTCTTGGTCCACTCGATCACACGAGCCGTTCGACTCATGGTCGACTTGCCGTACGCCCAGCCATACCCTGACGTGCCACTGATGCACAAACTGATGTTGCTCTTCTTGGTGCAAAAGTCGTCCAAGTGGTTGTGGCCACAAAACGATGCTTTGACGTCGCCCACTATGGTGCACCATGAGCGATGCCTGTCATCCGCCGACGGGGCTCACGTACTTTGGACCATCGCGTCAAACAGTCCATGTTGCGCGGGCGGCACCCATCCTTCGTTGCGCTCGCCCTGCAGCACGGGGCCGCTCTTGTACTCGGGGGTCGGGATGTGGAAGAACATCAAGGCGGGCACGACGTCGTATTGAACCTGGTGCGCTGCGGCGAGCGACTTGATGTACGTGAGCTGGTCGGTCGTTACGTTGCCATCCTTGTGCGTGTCGATAAAGTACAGGCGCAGAGCCGACGCGTTGTGGGTCGCGCGGGTTTGCACCGTTAACTCGTAGTTGCCGACGCCCCCAATCGTCATGGGCCCGTACTTGGCGTACGATAGCGGCAGCGACTCGATGTACGCCATCAAGAGCTTCTTGTTGGTGGTCATTTGCTACATCGGCGGCACGCGTGACGAGCCATGCATGCAACGTCGCAATCGGGACGTACTGGCGCAATGGATTCGTCGTGGTTGCCAAATACCATGGCCCACGGAATGTTGCGCTTGGTGGCTTCGGCGGCATACTTGTCGACGGTCCTGTACGAGTCGCCCCATGTCTAGAGAGACGGGCGGTGGTGGGGAGAGGGCGGACACGGGATTGACGTGTACCTGGGGCGCGTACTGGCCTTCAATTTGATCGCCCGTGAACACGACAAAGTCGGGGTGGACGGCGTCGAGGAGGGCGCCGACCATGATGGCCATGTATCGTTGCTGGCACGGCGCTTTCATCGAAGCAGGTTTGTCGAGGCATGCCGTGTCGTCGTTTCCGGAATAGTGCAAATCTGGGATTTGCAAGATCGTGAATGCGGCGCCGCCCGCGGACGTGGTGCGCGCCATCAGCGGCGGGCGGTCGATCTTGGCTGTTTCGCGGAGCGCGGCTTGGACGGTCGTGTCAATGTATTCGTTCAGCACGGGCAGCTCGAGTTTGTGGATTTCCCCCCCGAGCCAATTGAAGACGTCGTTCACGTCCACGGGCAAACTAGACGCGTTGAATGCGGTCGTCGCCCGTGGCGTGGCCAGGGCGACGACGGCAACAAGCGGCAACGTCACGCGCATCGTGGTGGCTGTTCGAACAGGGAGATGGATCAATTTTAAACCGACGCCCGCGACAGAGCGGACACAATGTGTGGAAAGTTTACGTGAACGTAGGTGCGTTGGGCGGGCGAATGCGCTCAAGGCAGTGACAATTGCAAGCGATTGCCAGTGGCGTCCGTATCAGCTTGTGAATGGACAGGCGTATGCGTCGAGATTGCAGGGACACCAAACCCAGATGAAAGGACAGACGGCCGAATGGTGGCAAGCCGTCTCAACCACCTGCCGCGCGTGAGCCAAAACGGAGCTGAGTTCACATTGACGTGGGCTCTGCTGCCTATACGGCGTATCTCGTGGCGCGCTCTTTCAGCTTTTTGATACAACCCCGTGAGACGATGCCACAAGTAGACGATGACGTTTGGTGTGGGGTGATAACCTTGCTTGGCTCTGTCGTCGCAACAACCTCCTGGGCGCCATGACGGGGACAGTGCGGGGGCTCACCGTCCATTTTGAAGTTCATGGCCTTTCAAACCAATGCCCGAATTGAAAGCGCTTTGGTGTGGCCGATGCTAGCACTCCACATGGCTTGGGTTTCATCCACGTCGTATGTCCCTGCGCCATGCGTTACCATGCCGGCCGCAAACCCCCTCTCCGTCCACCGAGTGGCCGCATGTACGTTGTACTCGGTGGATGGCGCGCGAGATTCACGTTGTCGACGCCTCCGTCTTGGTTGGACGGTCCCCCGAACAGCGACTACACACTCACTTGTATCGGCCACTAATATACAAGTTGCGTTTCCATCGAGCCGGCCAGTGATCAAGATGTGCCGGCCCGAGTCACAGCGACAATGACCTCTACGACAGAACAACTATCCTTTGAGTTCCAACATGATGTGACATTGCAAGC